TTAATAAAAAACATTGAACATAAGACGCTACTGATATTTTTCTACAAGTTATTAACAGAATTATTTTGATTTCTGCAATGTGTATACACAATAATCACATAATTGTGGAACACAGAATTCATCCATTGTTATATAAGCCTTCTTTCCATCACTATGACAGTAGACTTGGGGGTGTCAACTTAAAGGACTAAAGGTGTATCTTGTTTGATGTTATCCACAGTTTCAGTACATAGTCATATATATAAGTGGTTTCTGGGTTTGTGGTAATGTAGATTTCACATGGGATGAACCTGGTCAACCAAAACTACTCAACACATGCCTGCAGTAAAATGGAGATAGATAGATAATAGATAAGTAGACAGACAGAGAGACAGATAGATAGATGTTTGTATGCATGCTTTTCCTTAGCATTCTTAGCTTTTAACCTTTAAACAGCTAGGTATATATGTCATGTATTTTCCTTTTTGCCTGTGCTGAAATTTATAAAAGCTGCTGACTTAAGGTATACTCAAACAACACACATGTAGAAGAGAGACTGGCATTTCTGTTAGCATATTGTGGAAAAGTTATTATCTACATCCATTTACTGCAGTCAAATCACAGGAGACACAAAGCTGGTACACCAAGATTTAAAGAATATGGAGAATTTCAAGGCATTTGATATCTATTGTATAAAAAAGAATTAAACCCTCCAGTATGTCCCAATTTTGCAACAAAACTCCATCCACAGGAGCAAATAAAGGTATTTTTTACAAATATAAACCTTGACACTTCAATTGCTAGAACATTTATGATTCATGCTTTCAAATGGACTCGTCCTTACAAATATTGCCTACGTGAACAGAAAGTATGCTGAAAACTCTAATGTACCACTACCTTTGTTTAGTACTCTCTACTTTATTCTCTAAAATATAAATACGCAGTAAGCAACTTTTAAATTGGGTTAACATGATTATAGATAATATAAAAAGGCAATGGTGACCTTTATTCTTAGTGATTTAAATGTATTACATTACCATATAAACAATAATTATAATTGAGTGAGCTGAACTTACAGCAGTGTTTAATCAGAGTGTTTGCCTGCGATGCCAAAATCCTAGTTCTCATCTCCAATAACACACAGTGAAAAGCATATTACATCTGTAGAATGTGATGTAAACCTCAAGTTAATATTGACATGATGGCAGGAAATAGGAAGAGGAAAGAATTCTGGAAGAAGAATCTAGCCTTTCACATCTCTATTCATGTGAATGATCATTTCAACACTTACAACATCTAAAGAAGAGAGAAAACCTAGTGTCCCAAAACCAATAAATGAAAAAGCGAAAATCTCATACATAAAATGAAACAACAAAACCTTAAGGAGAGAGAAATTGTGAAATATACTCAATATGGAAAACCTTAAGAACAGTCCACAAAGAGATAGACACTGAAAACTACTTATTGTATGACATTTTAAGTATGATGTCTAGAATATGGGAAGAGAGAGTCAGAAAGTAGTTTTCTGGGCATGGGGGAGGGAGAAGTTTTGGAGACGGCTTTTGGTTACATAATAAAATATGTTCTGGAAGTAGGTAGTGGTAAAGACTGCATCACCTTATCAATAGACCAAAATCCAAAGAAGTGTTTAAGGATGCAAATTTTACAGCTTGCATCTTTTATCTCAATACAAATTGTTAGCAAAGATAGTAACGAGGCAGTTAAAGGAGAGAACTTTTAAAATTGGAGAAATAATAAAAATAGGAGGAGTTATGTAGTGTTTAAACATGAGAAGGATTTGAATATCCTTAGATTCTGCTACGAAAGTTGATGTAGTTTCTATCATATAGAATGCTATGTGTAGGCTATCTATAAGTTTCTTGATTTTTCTGCAGTTGTGGGTTTGATTTCAGGGCCTGGGTGCTTTCCCTGAGCCTTTTTTTTGCTCAACGCTAGTACTCTAACCACTTGAGCCACAAAACCACTTCTAGTTTTTGTATGGTTATTCAGAAATAACAGTCTCATGGAGTCTTTTTTGCTTGGGCTGGCTTCAGACTGAGATCCTCAGATCTCAGCTTCCTGATTACTATTACAGGCATGAGCCATTGATGCCCGGCTAGCTGTACATTTTGTACTGCAAATTTAGTTTCCCCTTTCATCTTGACATTGTTTTGTGAATAATAGTCTAGAATTAAGCCCTATAATTATAAAAAATGAATGTAACTAATATGAGCAAATTGGGGACTGTAGTGCCTCAATGAATATTCATGTTCATATACTAGGCTGTGTGTGTGTGTGTGTGTGTGTGTGTGTGTGTGTGTGTGTGTTGGTACTCAGGCTTGACTCAAGAACTCTTGCTGTTTCTGGGAACCAGAGGAAAATGGGAAGATGAAAAGAGAAGGTAAAGCTCCAGGAAGAAACTGAATATGCTTGAAGTACTTACAAGCCTGTGAGAAAAGAGAATACTGAAACTGAGTAAAATATTTAAAAAGGAGAGAGCTGGATTCCAGGGGCTCACGCCTGTAATTTTTCTACTCAGGAGACTGAGATCTGAGAATCATGGTTCAAAAGCCAGCCTGGGCAAGGAAGTCTATGAGACTCTTATCTCCAATAAACCACCAGAAAACCGGAAGTGGAGCTGTTGCTCAAGTGTTAGAGCGCTTGCCTTGAGCTGAAGGACAGCCCACAGACCCAGAGTTCAAGCCCCACGACTTAAAAAAAAAAAAAAAGAAAAGAAAAAAGAAAAAAGAGAGGGATTAGAAAAAGGAATAGACTCAAAATTCATTACATGCATGCATAGAAATATCACAATAAAGCCCTTTGGCACAATTAATATTTTCTAATATTTTTTAAAGTCAAATCTTACTATTTATTTTCTACAAAGTGGAAAATGTAGAACCTAAAATGTAATTATCATATTTGTGTCATACCAAAGCCCCAGGGGAAACAGAAGCAGTTATAAGTCCCAAATGCTAACTGATATAATAGAATGCTTCCTGGTTAATGTCCAACTGACAAAGAGCTGCTAATCTTAGGTAAGTTGTTGAATTTCCAAACTTAAATATATTAGATTTTTTTTAAAAAATGCCTTTTGAGGAGTAAAAAAGATTTCTGAGTCCTTTAGGTTAACTGTTGGACACAGCTGAATAAATTCTGAAATCATCTTAATGAAACTTGTTTCTTCCTGAGATTGGATGAGTCTAAGCAGACCTGGACATTTCCATAAATGACATTTGAATCTGGGTTTATAAGGTTGTCTTTTGTCTCTTTATGACTGTGCATGCACAAACATGGATTTAAATGTTTCTTTCCTAATTGAAAGTAACAATTAGGTTCACATTTCCCTATGTGCAAATAACTTTATTTTACTTAGGCTGAGTAAATGCTCACTATTACCAATCCTTTACATTGTCAAACACTGTGAAGGTGCATGAAAACACTGAGCAATACATACATACAAAGAAAAAATACACAAGTTTGGATCATTTATCTTTATGCTGTTTCCATTTTTGAAAAGAGATACTACAAATTATATTTTCGATATGTGGGTGTTTTAACCACTTTTCATGATGATTTTTCTTTTTTTGTTTTTCTTTTTTTGTCAGTCATGGGGCCTGAACTCTGCCTGGGCATTGTCCCTCAGCTCTTCAGCTCAAGACTAGTGCTCTACCACTTGAGCCACAGGGCCACTTTGGGCTATTTCTGCTTACATGGTGCTGAGGAATCAAACCCAGGGCCTCATGCATGCAAGGCAAGCACTCTACCACTGAGCCACCTTCCTAGCCCCTCATGCTGATTTTTCTCTGATCAGGAACACCAAACTTCAGACCTAGCCTTCCACAATGAATAGGTGGTAAAATCACAATTAATTTCTAGGACAAAATATAATGAATAAGTTGTTCCTATCATATAAAATACTAAATAAAATATAGGTTAATTACAGTATAATATTTATAATTATTAGGCATTGATAGGTTCAGTGACTCTAGAACTAATATATCAGTCCTTTAAACCAATCATATTTTCAAGAAGTAGCATAAGTTCAATAATTATTTATGTTCACATGAATATTTTTAAGCCTCAGTAATTTGTCTGTAGGATAGTTTCTATATAATATTTATTTTATTCTAGTTTTAAAGTACAGTGCAATGTTAGTAAAATTAAAAAAATTTCTGACACAGGAAACAGTCATGACAGAGAAAAATTAAAGAATTTGTAGAAAGTCACATAACTGAAGTGGTATTTAGATTTATATTATTTTCTCTAACACATTTTAGATTTTTAATTTTTTTCTTGTCATTATCAATATGAGATGCAATCTACTCTTTTTTTCTTTTTTTAAATGATGGTACTGGGGCTTAAATGCAGAGCCTGGGTACTGTCTCATAGAGGTTTTTTCTTTTTTTTAAACATTTTTATTACATATTTTTTATTGTAAAGATACTGTTCAGAGAGGTTATAGTTGCATGAGTAAGCTAATGAGTACATTTCCTATTGAGTATTGTTACCTACTCCTTTGTTTTTCTCCTGCCATCCCTTTCCTCCCCACCTCTCCAACTAACACCCCCCACCCTCCCCACCCCCGGCCAAGTTGTAAAGTCATTCTTAATGGTAGCACTCTACCACTTGAGCCATTGCTCCACTTTCAAAATTTTGGTGGCTCATTGGACATAAGAAATTCATAGTCTTCTGAAGTGGTGCTGTGGCTTAAGTGGTAGAATGCTAGCTTTGAGCTGAAGAGATGAGGGACAGCACCCAGGCCAAGAGTTCAAGCCCCATGACCAATAAAAAAAAAGAATTTCATAATCTTTCTTGCCTGAGAAAACTATGATCCTCAGATCTCAGCCTCCTAAAAGCTACGATTACAAGAATGAGCCACCTGTACCTGGTATAATATGTTTTTAAACACAGATATTTTCTGAGATTAAAATATAACTTTATATAACGGGATTGTAGTAGTCATCCACCTAAATTAATTTTGTTCTTACTTTTCCCAAATATTCAGGCAAGAGAAAAGAGAAATGGATAGGAGAAATTGCTCCTCGTGGAATGAATTTGTGTTCTTGGGGATTACCAATACTCCTGAGACAAAAGTGATTTTGTTTGTCACCTTTATACTTGTCTATTTCATTAATATTCTGGCAAATCTTGGAATGATCACTTTAATCCTAGTGGACTCCCAGCTTCACACACCCATGTACTTCTTCCTCAGTCACCTCTCTTTCTGTGACCTCTGCTACTCCACGGCCATTGGGCCCAAGATGCTGGTGGACATATTTGGCAAGAACAAATCCATTCCTTTCCTGGGCTGCGCTCTGCAGTTCTTGATCTTCTGCATCTTTGCGGATGCTGAGTGCATGCTGCTGGCAGTGATGGCCTTTGACCGGTACAAGGCCATCAGCAGCCCTCTGCTCTACACGGTGAACATGTCCAGTAGGGTGTGCACTCTGCTCGTGGCTGGAGTTTACCTGGTGGGGATGGCAGATGCCCTGATCCACACCACACTGGCATTCCGCTTATGTTTCTGTGGGTCTAATGAGATCAATCATTTCTTCTGTGATTTGCCTCCACTTTACCTCCTCTCTTGTTCTGACATCGAGGTCAATGAGTTGGTATTATTCATCATTTTTGGCTTCATCGAGGTGAGCACTATCTCAGGAGTCCTCATCTCTTACTGTTATATTATTTTATCAGTGTTAAAAATTAGATCTGCTGAGGGCAGGTTCAAAGCTTTCTCCACTTGTACCTCTCACTTGACAGCAGTTGCCATTTTCCAGGGAACTGTGCTCTTCATGTATTTCCGACCAAGTTCCTCCTACTCCCTAGATCAAGACAAAATGACGTCTTTGTTTTACACCCTTGTGATACCTATGCTGAACCCTCTGATTTATAGTCTACGGAACAAGGATGTGAAAGAGGCTGTGTTAAAGCTGAGAAATAAAAGGTGTATTTAAGATATTGTATTTCAGATATCATAGTGTAGTTAATATATCATAGTACACACTGTGTTTATGTTGCTATAGCATACATACAGAAATCCATGTATATTATTCAGTTACCATGGCTTTTCTGAAAATTTTTAAAATTACCTTTAAGTAGTCGGGGTTTAATTTGAGGTGTCAGTTTATATACTCGAACAATGCCCTCCCTTTCATTCATTACCCCACATCTCTTATTCTTCCCTGTCCCTTAAAATCGCTGGGTCTATTTTCACATATGTACATCGACTATTATGCTATTATGCATATATCTGTCCACATTTCCTCTCTCCATTTGTTTGTCCTCTACCCTCCTTCCCGTCACCATTTTTCCCCCTCTCAACAACACCTGTTCCAACTTACTGGGATTTATTTTGTTAAGCTGTAGGTTAGTGGTTTGAAAAATCTACCCCATTACAATCCTCTCCTGTGTACACCATATGATAACATGTTTGCATGCATGTACATATCAGCCTGTGTATGTTTTCATATCTGCTTTTTTTTTGTCAGTTGTGGGGCTTGAACTCTGGGCCTGAGTGCTGTCACTCAGCTCTTCAGCTCAAGGCTAGCACTCTACCACTTGAGCCACAGCACTACTTCCAGGTTTCTGGTGGCTTATCGGAGATAAGATTTCATGGACTTTTGTGCTCGGGCTGGCTTTGAACCGTGATCCTCAGATCTCAGCCTCCTGAGTAGCTAGGATTATAGGTGTGAACTATCAGCACCTGGTTCATATCTGCTTTTTTTTATTTGTAACATTTCATTGTTTCTATTATTTAATATTATTTCACTTGAACTAAGATGTATTGAAGATTTTTAATCCCATTCAATAGACTTAAGTGCTTCATGCTTAATGGCATATCCAGTAGTTTATCACTAAATCTTGTATTTTATTAGTAGTAATGGAAACTAATTAAGCACTCAAACAGAGTAAATTCATTTGACTAATTACAACTTCTCTAATTTGCAAAGCATAAAATGCCTTTTCTGGAATGATTGTTCTGGTATTTCTTGAATCAAATGGTAACTAACTTAGATGGTAGTGACACTTCTACCTTGTGATTCTTCAGAATTATGGGACAAAATGCCTAGATATGGTCGATCTTAGAGTATCTACGAAATCTTCACCATTTCCTTTTCCTATAGTCTGTCAAATTACAACCTAATTTAATGTCAACCAATTACCACCAACAAATATTATTACCCAATTAAAATATCATCAATGACTATGTAAAGTGAATAAATATTACATGTTACCTATATCAACAATTTTTTATGTTCTGGCTGGTGAAACTTTTGTATAATAAAATGACAAGGAAACAATATTTGTATATGCATAAAACCATCTAAGACTTCATCTATATAAAAGAGAGATATAAACCATAGTGCCTATCACCGCACTCTAGTAAGAATGGTTATTCTCACAAAGAGAAAGTGTGAAGATGTAGGGAAGATGTAGGGAAAAGAGATGCTATGAGTAATGTTGAGAATGTAAATTAATATAGTCACTATGTAGAACAGTATTGAGTTTCCTAAAAATTATCACCAAATAGATCTAGAATATGATCTGGCAATGTTATCACTGGGTATAGATTCAAAGGAAAAATACCTACTATGTCAAATTGACATGTTCACACAATTAATCATTTCATCAATATTCACATGTACATAAAAGGAAAACAAATGTTGGATAGATAAAAATATGGCACATACATACAATGGCATACTATTCAGCCATAAATAATAGAATACTGAGTGCACACAATTGTGTTAACCAAAATATGGTATTTTTCAAGGGAGAATTTAAACTTTAATTCCTTAGAAAAGTCCAACAAATTAAGTACCAGGAAATTGGCATTTGAAAGATATGTGTTGGGGGGGGGAGGAAAGGGGAGGGTAGTAGAGAAATGAAGCGGAAGGATGGCAATGTAGACATAATGTTCAATGTATACCTTCAAATGAAAAACATTGAGGGGATGGTTTGGGCAGAATATTGAAAGGGTGACATTAATCAAGATGCACTGTACTGATAACTGATTTGTTGAATGGTAACTACTTTGTGCAACTACTTAAAGAAAATAGGAACATAATTTTAAAAAGAATGGTACTAAGTAAACCATACTCAAAGAAACATAGGTCCTATGGTTTCCTTTGTCTGCAACAACTAGTATATGTCTAGGACAAGCAGAAGAGGTCAAAAGCTATGTACATACGACCATATAACCTGATGCTAAGCAAAATGAACCCCTACATAAGGACACAAGATGTTTTATTTTTGTTGCTGTTCTTCTTAATGTACTTATAATGTACTATATGGTTTTTTTGTTTATTTGTATGTTCTTCCCCCATGATACAATCTCTGTTGTCACTGTATTTGATTCCAGTGACTTACATCTTATATATACATTTTTTTCTAATTTGGGGAGGGGAAAAGAAATAACAAAAGGCTGCAATAAGAATACAGGATGACCCATTGCAACAATGAGATGTACAAGATAGTATGTTGAAAATGAACTTTACAACTTTGCATGGGGAGGGTTGAGGGGAGGGAGGAGTTGGGGAGGTGGAGAGGAAAAGGATGGTAGATGAAGTATAAAAGAGGGTGTAAAAATGCTCAATAGGAGATGGACTCATTACCTTGCTCATGTAACTGTAACCCCTCTGTACAGTATCTTTATAATAAAAAATATATATCAAAAAAGAATGAAGTGCTGTTTTAGGTTAAAGTGGATGGATATGGAGTGAAATAAGCCAGAAATAGAAAGACAAACACCATGTGATCTCAGTCAGATGAGTCTAATATGAAAGATGATCTCATGAAAGTTGAGAGTAGATTACTATCCAAGAGAGTAGATTATTATCCAAGAAAGCTGGGCATTGGTGGCTCATGCCTGTAATCCTAGCTACTCAGGAGACTAAGATCTAAGGATCACAGTATAAAGCCATCCCAGGCAAGAAAGTCTGTTCGACTCTTATCTCCAATAAACCACTCAGAAAACGGAAAGTGGTGCTGTGACTTAAGTAGTAGAGCACTCACCTTGAGCTGAAGAGCTGAGTGACAGCACCCAGGCCCAGAGTTCATGCCCCACAACTGACACACAAAAAAAGAACAGTTACAGTTATTATCCAAGAAGGAAAGAAGGAGAAGACTAAGAGATAGAAGAGATTGAGAAAGTTTGATTATCGGGGACTAAGCTACTGAGCCTGACATGTAAAACAGAGTGGATATGCTGTTGTTCAATGGAATACCAGATTTTTCTGTTTCCTTGAAGAGGCTTCAATTTCTCTTTTCAGAATTTTAAAGTTTTCACAATAGGGGTCCTTCATATCTTGGGTTAATTCCTAGGTATTTATTTTTATATATACACACTGGGACATGATACATTACATAAGATTATAGACATTCACACAGAGGCAAAAGAAAGGTATGTGTAGGATTGGATGACAATGGTTCAATAGCTATGTGTGTGTGATCATATAAAATAGTATTTTATGAAATGAACTCCAAAAAAAGGAAGCAAGGGATTTGTTTTTAGTTGCTGTTGTTGCTGTTTTTGTTTTCTTTTACTTTGGTCTTGTTTGTGTTTGGAGAAGCAAGGAAAAGGCGGGAGAAAGGGTGAACAAATACAACATTGGTACTCACTAGACACCGTGGAAAATGAGCTGTACATCTTGTGGGTGAGGATGGGAAGAAAAAACTGGGAGAGTATGAAGAAAAGGGAGACATGGATCAAAAAGAATTATACTCATTACTTGACTCATGTAACTGTAACCCTTTGTATATCAACTCTGCAATAGCAAATTAATTAATTAATTAATTGATTAAAGCTTAAAAGTTCTCTATATGGATCAAGTGGTAAAATGCTTAATTGGAAACAATGAATCCAGTATTGCAAAGCAGACAAAAATTATAGGATACTTCATTAGTATGCTTAATTTTAGTGTTCTATTTAGGCTTTAAATCAAGTTAGAACCTTTGAAAACTTAGAAATTGCAACACTGTTATCTGATACCTTTTCTTGTGACCAAATCTGTTCTCCTCATGCATATTAAACCTATAATTCTACTCACTATCTAAGTCTTTTCTATTTTTAGATTGTATTTGTAATATAAGGTTGTTGATCTTTTTATTTGTGACATTTGTTCTTTTATTTTTTAATTTTTATTGTGAAAATACCATACAGAGGGGTTACAATTAGATGAGCAAGGTAATGAGTACATTTCTTATCAAGCATTGCTGCCTCCTCCTTTGTTTCCCCTTACCATCTATTCCCTAGGATCTTGCATGCTTCCCAAAATGACAAGGAATTTTTTTTTCAAGGACAAGTAGTTTCTCAATCTGTATATGCCATACTGGTTTTCTATATTCCATTGTTGACTGCTTGCTGTATGTTTGCAATGGGAAAAGTCAAAAATTATGTTTACAGAAGTTTCAGCAAAATTATTACCTATGTCTACCCATGATGAAAATGTCAGTAAAATTTACATTCCACAAAATAATTTCACTGACTATCTAAAAATAGAATGTGAAAATTTAAAATGTGAAGACAACATTTTCTGCTGTGAGGAGCAATGGATAAAGTGACCTGTCCTTAAAAACAGTAACAATAGGGCTGGGAAGGTGGCTCAGTGGTAGAGCGCTTGCCTTGCATGCATGAGGCCCTGGGTTTGATTCCTCAGCACCACATAAGTAGAAAAAGCCAGAAATGGTGCTATGACTCGAGTGCTAGAGCACTAGCCTTGAGCTAAAGAGCTGAGGGACAGTGGCCAGGCCCAGAGTTCAGGCTAGCCTTGAGCTGAAGAGCTGAGGGACAGTGCCCAGGCCCAGAGTTCAGGCCCCATGACCGGCCAAAACAAACAAACAAAAAAAAAACAGTAACCATAACAAAAAGAGAGACTAGCAGAGCTTTGATTTCTTGTGGAATCAAATTACTTGGTCAATTGACATTGTAGAAAAATTCTGTTTCTTAAGGTTAGAGGATCAATATCCTGGTTTTCCTAGTGAATAGCAGGTAAAATCTATTTGTTGATGATTTCTAGGTGCTACCCTCAAAATTATAGCCCAATCAGACTAGAAAACAGAAACTGAATTCTTCTACTGACTTTTCATTTCCCCATGTGTCATTGGATGTCTGAAGCATTCCTTTCTTCTTTCTACTTTATTAGGTTAACATAACAGGGTAGGAAGTACTACATTGATAATGAATTCATCTCTAAATGTACACTCAAATAATTATTATATTCATACATGCCATGAATAAAACTTGGTGGTATATGGAGGATAAATTAGTGTGACTATTGCAAAATTCCTGTGAAATAGGTGATATTTATTTGGCAGGTTTTCCAACTGACATAAATCTTCTATTGTGTTGGTAGTAATTGATGGGTTTAGATGTGATTTTGATTGAATATATTTTCTGGTATCTAGTGCTCTAACAAGCCAGTGATTAAAACTAGAAAAAATCCATATCCATTTTTCTTCTAGTACAGTGAATGGAGCATACAAATTCGCAATTTTAATGAAAACATGCAAAGCATGTTTATTGATATCTTAAAACCTTTAGGCTTTTCTATGAATGATTTAAAGCACAGCCATACTCATGAATCAGTTCACGCATTTAATCAATCACTCAAAATATTTGATACTCACATAGTATGCTGCATTATATTTCTGAACTATAGACTTACAGTGAATGTAAGTGTGAAGATGCATGAAATTATTCAGTAAATATCATTCCATATTTTTAAGTAATGAATCTCTCTTGACTGAATTCTGCTCATAGACTTTTTACATGGAAGATATTATGCATAATATAACCTCTTTTATGAACAAAAATGTTGGCTATAGTTTATATTGGCTATAGTTTAATTTCCTGAGCAATGTGAATTTCAGGCTAGTATTTAAAATTAACAAAAATATCCAATAAACTTGAAACGAACACCATCTTAAATAGTGAAGGTACAGGTTCAGAATGCTTTACTCTGGTGAGTGTGACTAGCAATTCAGCCATGCATGAACCCAATTTTTTTGTTGGTCAAGGGGTTGGAACTCACAGCCTTAGGTCCTTACCTGAGCTTTTCTGCTCAAGGCTAGCAAGCATTTACCACTTTGAGCCCCAGCCCCACTACTGGTTTTCTGGTGGTTAATTAGAGATAAGAGTCTCAAGGACTTTCCTGTCCAAGCTGGCTTTGAACCATGATCCTCAGATCTCAGCCTCTTGTGTAGTTAGGATTATAGGCATGAGCCACCAGTGCCCCGCTATAGCCCTATATTTTCAGTAATAATTTTCTCAGTGCCTCAATCACATCCTTGTTCCTAAGGGTATATATCATGGGATTGAAGATGGGAGTCACGATGGTGTAGAAAAGAGAGAGCAACCTGTCAGTTCCGGCAGAATGGTTGGATTTGGGCCTGAAGTAGGTAATGCTAGCAGATCCATAAAAGAGAATTACAACGAGCAGGTGGGAAGAACAGGTGGAGAAGGCCTTAGCACGTCCAGTGGTGGTCGGCAGCCTCAGAACAGTGGCAATAATTTTGCTGTAAGAGGCAATTATCAGCATGAAAGGGACTGCAACGAACAACACGGCTACTGCATAAACAGACAGCTCATGCACCAAAGTGTCCCCGCAGGCTAGCTTGAGGATGGGAGGTATGTCACAGAAGAAGTGGGTGATTTTGTTAGAACTACAGAAATGCAGAGAGAATATTTGACAGGTCTGTCCTATCTGGACTGGGATTCCCCCGAGCCAGGCTCCGGCTGCCAGTTGGATGCACTTCTTTGGGTTCATGATTAGAGGATAGTGGAGAGGGCTGCAGATGGCCACGTAGCGGTCATAGGACATCACAGCCAGGAGAAAGCACTCAGTGGCTGCCAGCATAAGGAAGAAACACATCTGGGAGGCGCAGTCCAACAGAGAAATGCTTCTTTTCTGAGTCCAAAGGTTGAACAGAATTCTTGGGATAATGACGGACACATAACAGATTTCCAAGGTAGAAAAATTTGCCAGGAAAAAATACATGGGTTTCTGCAGTGCAGCGTCAAGCCTAGTGATTATGATGATGAGACCATTTCCAAATAAGATAACCACATAAACAATGACAAATGCCCCAAACAGGAACCCTTGGAGGCTTGGGAGGTCAGAGAATCCCAGAAGGACAAATTGTTTTACTGCGGACACATTGTCTTCCTCTTTGAAATCCCCAAGCACCATCTGTGGTAGTGAAGGAATCAAAAGGAGGAATTACACTCTTACCTTAGCTGTTTTTTCTCATGTATAAACCATTTCCAAATTTCCCAGTTCTCTACCGATACAAGTCTAGAGCTTCCATGTACTTTGAGGCTGTAGTGAAGTGTGTTTGGGGATCCGAATAGATCTTTAATCATTATTATTGTTGTTGTTGTTAATCTTTAAGTAGTTATACAAAGGCATTGGCATTTACCAAAGCAGTTTCTTAATATGTGCCTCTAAGTGAATAGTTCCCCCTTTCAGTATTCTCTTCTATCTCATCCTTACCCACCTTTTCCTCACTATGCTTAATGTTGTAGGATATCCATTAATTCTTGAACTGTATTCTCCCCTTCTTGCCTTCTTCATTCCTCTACCCTTTTTCATCTGACCTCACCCCACCACTTCCAAGTACCCTGGTTTACTTCATTGAACTTCTACTTTGCCTTACAATGGAATTGCACTACTTGTTAAGTTCTTCCTTGAATCTACCGTATTTCAGTTGGTACTGTGGTATTCACTTGCATACTACCCGAAGTATTTTACTTATGAGTTTATAAGCTAAATCTAGCTTTTACATAGAAGGGAAAACATGTATCCTTTGTCTCTCAGGACCTGACTTACTTCACTAATAAGTTTATGATGACAAATTTCATCTGAATGTCTTTTAACATCTTTGTCCACATAATGAGATATACCACAATATATTTTCACATAAACAACATATAAAACAAAATCTGATATTTTGTTTAATTATGAAAATATTTTAGCCAGGAGGCAGTGGCTAATGCCTGTAATATTAGCTAATCAGGAGGCTGAGAGTTGAACATTATGGTTTGAAGCCAGACTGGCATGAAAAGTCCAAGTGACTCTTATGGCCTCTTAACTACCAAAAATTCAGGTATGGAGCTGTGTCTCAAGTGGTAGAGCACTAGCCTTAAGCAAAAGAGCTCAAGGACATTGTCCATGCAATGATTTTAAGCCCTATCACCAGCACATGCACATATTATATAAACTATACTTGTATATATATAAATACCATACATACATTCATATACACATACACATATAGGTATATATACATATATACTGAGTCTCTAAAATTAAAATGTATTAAAATACTATGACATTATTGAATTATGGCTTTAAGGCATGGAATGTGTTTGTTTTAATCATCTAACAATATTACCTTTTTTTAACATGTTGATTTACTTGTTTTCCTAAATCTAGAGCTTAGTACATGGATGAGGATGAAACTCACTGTTTTATGTGTTCTGTCTATCATTTCCTTTTGGACTAGCATCCATGAAGTCCTCACATTTAATTAACGAAGCCCTGGCCTCTAACCCAGTAGTGGCCTTTTTTTGGTCACTCTTCTATTACATCTGATACTATTTAGGTTCTTTCCTCATTGTAACTTCCATCTGTCAAATCCCAGTGATTAAAGGAAACATATATTTCTAAATTGAGTTAAACAATTTATTCAAACATTAGTAAGAAAATAAAAACTTTGTCAATACAACTTTCCATTCTCTATGTACCAAAATCTTTTGTTTCTCTTGCATTTCTATTCCTTTGATCGACAGTGTCAAACATTCTTTTTTTTTCTTTTTTTTTTTTGGTCCAGCCTGAACTCTGGGCCTGGGCACTGTCCCTCAGCTCTTCAGCTAAAGGCTAGCACTCTACCACTGGAGCCACAGTGCCTCTTCCGGTTTTTTTCTTTTTGTTTATGGGGTGCTGAGGAATCGAACCAAGGACCTCATGGATGCAAGGCAAGCGCTCTACCACTGAGCCACCTTCCCAGCCCCTCAAACATTCTTTTATGCAATGCAAGTACAACTTGATAAATATTAGTGGGCTTCTCCACATAAAACAGTATGCAAAGAAAGAAATAATAATGACACAAATATATCCCAATAGATATCATATTCTAATCATGATCTTATGTAAAATGCTTCCTCAAATGTTTTAAAGTTTCTGGTGGTGTCTGACCTTTGGGAGCTTTTCTGCCTAATAATAAGAGAGAAATCCAAGGTAATTTTATATTACCGTTATAATAATAAATGATATTCAAGAAAATATTTATCACTTTTGTTTTTATTCAAATACATCATGTTTATTTCTCTCATATGTATTTTGAAAGAGTAATTTTGGTGTATTTATTGTGATGTTAATTATTTAAAGCATCAATTGTGCACAAATTTCATGTTCCTTATTTGCAGAGTAAGCCTATGAAATAAAATTCAAGGTAGGCAACAAAATAGACACAAATTTATGCATACACAAATTTTTATTTGTCAAATGTCTTTATAAAAATCATTAAAACATATCATTTTTCTTTTATAATTTCAGATTCATTAATCAGAGATCCCAATTCTAATCAACAGAAACACATTTAATAGGAGGCAGTGGCTGCCTTCTTAAAAAGTATCCCAGTCTGTATTTATCTTGTACATTGCATTCAATTGGATATTTATAAGAGTTGATCATCAGTTATATTATGTGAATTGTTTATATCTATTCATAACACATAATTATCATTGAATAAGTATTAACACATAGAATGATAAAGATATTGATGCTCATTATATTAGTTTTAAGATATCAGCCTGTGTGATAAATAGGATGTTACAATATACTCTGATATGATCTAAGAATATTGAATATCAATTCTGTAACAGGGTAATCTAAGACAAAAATTTGAAATTAACAACACAACAATAAAAACACTTTTCAATTTTTCTGTGATTTCTTCTTATTGGTGCTGCTAAAAAGTAAGTTAAAATGTACATGGAAAATTGCATGTAAAATATTTTTGATACTTGTGAAAGTATTTTTCCCATTATATTCAGAGTGGAGTTAATTATATTTCTTACCTTTAATGATTAATTAAAGACAGATATTGAGAAATCAGTTGGTTTATTTCCTCGAGTTAGTATTTTACCTTTATTTGAAACATATTCTGTAGTCAGAACAGTTATTTAAGTAGAATGTGCTCTCTACTCTAGGGATAAATTCCTCTCCCACACCACCTTCTAATTGGAAAGCAACCATCCTTCTTCCTGCCATTCAAAAAGTTTGGTACAACAAATAATAATCATGATGCTATCTAATCATGACATTGCTTTTGAATTTTTCTCCCTCTTTTTTTTATTAGAGCTTGACAAAATGTCTAGGGCTCTTTGCTGAATACTCTCTTCTTAAATATGAGCCTTCCTTTTCTAGGTCACACTCCAGACTACAGAAGAAGAAAGAAATATTCTCTTTTTCTTCTGAGCTGTACTAAATACACACACACCACACACACACACACACACACACACACACACAGTATGTTGTCCAGGAACAATTTCTCACATGACATTTAGTAACAAGTTTGGGCCAATTTGGAAGAAAGTCTACTAGACATAATCTTTACCTAAGCACCAGGTGAACCCACCTAAGATTTTGCATTTTTGTTATTAATCTTCTGTTGTCCTGACATACAGTTTTACTTAGTTACTTCTTGAGTTTGCAGTCAAGGACCTCTTATGATGGAATATAAAAGTAATAAAATAAATTTTCATACTACTTTCAGTCAACACATACACAAAAAATGCAAAGATCTTAGCTTCCTGAGTAGCTAAGATTACAGACTTAAGCCACCACTTCCCAGCTAGATAGTTTTAAATTATAAAATGGGAACATGGAAATATTTAATGTGTATACATCTAATAACAAATCTGTACAGTCATTAAAATATCTAACCATCTATAAAATTGTATATATATTGTTATTGATTACCTGTCAGATATGTTTATAATACCTTTTTTTGTCAGTCAGCCCAAGGTTTGTGCTCTACCCCTTTAGCCACAGTGCCACTTCTAGTTTTCTGGTGGTTAATTAGAGATAAGAGTGCCTCAGATGTTCCTGCCTAGGCTGGCTTTGATGATCTTCAGATCTCAGCCTCTTGAATAGCTAAGATTACAGGCATGAGCCACCAGCACCTGGCTATAATATATTTTTATATATAGCATACATAATCCTATAGTATATATGTGTATATTTATAATTTGTGCAAACCAAAATATAAACTATATTATAAAGTATAAACTATACTACATACATTTACATATTTAAAATTTTATTTTTATATGTAAAAGTAATTCTACCCAGTTTCATAATTCTGACTAATGTGGAATCTAGTTTGCATTGTTTCACATTCCCCAACTCTACCTTATCTGGGCAGGAACATGAATGCCTTTGATAAAACAAGCCACTTAAGTGTAAGCTAAAATTGACCACCTCATTCCAGTTAGAATAGCTATACTCAAGAAATCTAATAACAACAGATGCTGGAGGGGATGTGGCCAGAAGGGAACCCTACTGCATTGTTGATGGGAGTGTAAACTTGTTCAATCACTTCGGAAAGCAGTCTGGAGTTTCCTAAAAGAATCCACATAAGGGCTGGGAAAATGGCCCAGCAGTATAGTGCTTGCCTTGCATGCATGAGACCCTGGGTTTGATTCCTCAGCACCATATAAGCAGAAAAAGCCAAAAGTGGTGCTGTGGCTCAAGTGGTAGAGCTCTAACCTTGAGCTGAAGAGCTGAGGGACAGTGCCCAGGTCCAGAGTTCAGGCCCCACAACTTAAAAAAAAAAAAAAGGACTATACATAGAGCTCCCCTATGACCCAACAATCCCACTTTGGGGGCATTTACCAAAATGATCCTGGTATTTATTGTGTTGGACTTAGCCTTTGTCTTTCAAAAGAATTAAACCTTTCAAGTTCTTCCTTGAATCTTACCATACTTCAGCTGGTACATTTGATCAATGGTTTGACAATTATCCAAGAAATTTATTGTCTACGTGGATTTGATACAATTTGACTTACATTGTCTCTAGTATATTAGGTGAGTGTGGATTTCTAAAATGTAAATACCACAAAACTTTTGTCTTGATTTCTGAGTATTATGTACAATCCATATGAACCAATGTCCTTATATAT